CAACAACAACAACAGCAACGGGACAAAGGCAAATAACGGGAAGTGTACACACTGTGGACGCAAAAATCATGCATCGAATCAATGTCGTTTCAAGGACAAGGCTTGCCATAAATGTGGGGTTATTGGGCATTTAGCGAATATTTGCTCCAACAAGGCTAAGAAAAACAATAATTCCATTCAATATATTCAAAATGATTACAATTATCGTGATGCTAATAATTTTTTGAATTCCGTATACAGCATTAACCACGGAGAAGTTGGTGATTTCGATGAAAGCAAGAAACACGTGTATTCGATCGGGAACGGAGCGGATTTGCCGTACAGGCTAACGGTTGGCATTAATGGGATTGACCACACATGTGACTGTGATACCGGTGCTCCGTGCTCTCTCATGTCTATCCAGGTCTTCAATTCACTGTTCGATCGAAGCATATTGCGACCATGCACAGAACCATTCACGGGCTACGGAGGTGACCAATTAAATATTTTGGGTGAGTTCAAAGCTTGTGTTAATTTGCATGGACGGATCGAGTGTGGAAGAATTGTTGTGACCAATTATTATAGACCAACGTTAATAGGCCGTGATTTCTTGAGAAAATTTGAATTTGATCTAGTGCAATCGAACAATTCTGTAAATTTTGTAGATTCATACGATGAGATCATCTCGCAAATCAAAAGTGATTTTTCTGAAATTTTCAAAAGTGGTTTAGGGAAATGCAACACAACTGTTATCAAGCTTCCATTAATCAATGATGCCACGCCAATTTTTTGTAAGGCCAGACCCATACCGATGGCATTTCGTGAGAAAATTGAGCAACAGTTACAACAGTTAGTCGAACAAGACATCATCACACCTGTAAATGACTCAGATTGGGGTACGCCAATTGTACCCATTCCAAAATCTGATGGTGAAATCAGAATATGTGGCGATTATAAGTCAACGATAAATCGATTCCTTAAAGACTTTCGGTATCCACTACCGCGTATTGAGGAAATCTTCGCTTCAATGCAAGGAGGACAATTGTTCACCAAACTCGATTTATCTGGCGCCTACAATCAACTTGTTCTGGATGATGATGCGCAAAAGTTGTGCACTCTCAGCACACATAAAGGATTGTTTCGCATGAAAAGACTTCCATTTGGCGTGAAGATAGCCGCTTCAATTTTTCAAAAGACAATGGAGTCGCTTCTTTCTCAGTTTGCCAATGTTTTTTGTTTTCAAGATGATATAGTAGTCACAGGAAATAATTTTGCTGGTCATTTGAGCACGCTACGGAAAGTGCTGACTAAACTTCAAGAAGCTGGTCTACGACTGAACGTCGGTAAATGCAAATTCTTTCAGAGCAAAATCTCATACTTAGGTTTTGATGTGGATAAAAATGGCCTTAGTAAGAATCAAGAAAGGACAAAAAGTGTCATTGATTCGCCGCAACCCACAAACGTTTCTGAACTACGAGCATTCATCGGCATGGTTAATCATCATTCGAAATTTATTCCGAATTTTGCTCAGCGTATGATACCACTATATGATTTGCTAAAAAAGGATGTTGATTACGTTTGGACAAGAACTTGTCAAGAAGCATTCGAATCGATGAAGAAGGAAATTTGTTCAGATACCATTTTAGCTCATTTTGATGCAAATAAGCCAATAATTCTTACGACAGACGCATGTGGTACTGCTGTCGCAGGTCGTTTATCTCACATATTTGAAGATGGATCTGATAGACCGGTTGCATTTGTCTCACGTGCATTAAATAACGCCGAGAAGAATTATAGTACGTTTGAAAAAGAAGCACTTGCTATTATTTTTAGTGTGACGAAATTGCGTCAATACTTGTTAGGCAATAAATTTATTCTTCGAACGGACCATAAACCATTAGTCACAATATTTGGAGAGAATAAAGGTATTCCAGTGATGGCAGCCGCTCGAATTCAGAGATGGGCTCTTCTTCTTTCAGGTTTCAATTACTCTATTGAGTATGTCAAGGGCGCACTTAATACGTCTGACAGCTTGTCACGTTTGCGACAATTCGAAACCACCACAATCCATGAAGAGGCTTCATACATAAATTATGTCGGTTTTGTCAACATCACACAAATTGATTACAAAACTATTGCGTTGCATACACGCCGTGATCCAATTCTTTCGAAAATAATGGATTCCGTTCAGAATGGCACACTCAATAATTTGCAAGGCGATGACTTTAAAGCATATCGATCAAAGGCACTTGAGCTATCAGTTGAAAGTGGATGTGTTCTTTGGGGATATCGCACGGTAATTCCAAGTAAATTACAAAAAGCTGTCTTGGAAGCTCTTCACATGTCTCACTTGGGAATTGTGAAAACAAAGTCACTCGCGCGCTCATACGTCTATTGGCCGAATATCGATAAAGACATTGAATTCATGATTAAGTCATGTGAACCGTGTCAATTGACACAACCAAATCCAGAGAAGAGTTCACTAATTCCATGGACTCCAACAGATTCTGCTTGGAAAAGAATTCATATCGATTTTGCAGGTCCAATTAAGGGATTCATGTTATTCATTGTGATTGATTCTTTTTCTAAATGGGTCGAAGTGTTTAAAACGAAAGACATCACATCAGCTTTTGTGATCGCCAAGTTGAGGGAAACATTCTGCCGTTATGGTTTAGTTGACATCATTGTCAGCGATAACGGAAGGCAATTCACTTCTGCCGAATTTCAAGAGTTCGTCAAACAAAATGGCATAAATCACATTTTCACAGCACCGGGCAATCCGTCCACTAATGGCCAAGCTGAAAATTTTGTCAAAACGCTCAAAAAGTCGATTGTTGCGAATATTAACAAGCACAAGAACATCGATATGGATGAAGTACTGAACAAATTTTTATTCGACTATCGCATCACTAAACACTGTACGACAAATCAATCACCTTCGAAAATAATGTTTGGTAGAGAAGCGAAATCGCGATTTAGTTTGATGAAACCACCGCTTATTCGTGAAACCATCATACAAAAAAATCAAACGGCAATAAAGAATTACAAAGGCAAACGTAACGTCGAATTTTCAAAGGGACAGCAAGTTTATGTCCGAAATTACAAGAATCCAAATAAACCTAGTTGGTCACCAGCAATTGTTAAGCACAAGATCGGTCCTCGCAATTACACTTGTTTGCTCATACGAGAAAATCGTGACATCAAACGTCACTTAAATCAAATCCGCGGAGCAGTGAATGATGATGGTGCATCGGAAACAAGTGCAACGTTAGAGCAAAACGATGAAGTCGAGCCGACTGATATCGTAGATGATGAACAAACTGGAGCATCCAGCGAAGATGAAGAGACCTCTGAAAACGAGCATGAAGCATCTGGTGGGGGAGAGGAGTCGTTCGACACAGCGAATAGTTCAAATGATTCAGTCACTATGGCTGATAACACACTGATCGATGGCTTTCCCATGCCCATACCTGAGCCGCAAGTGCGGCAACCGCAACGAGCCTGTTCGAAGAAGGCAGCTGAACAAATCACAAAACAATTGCAACCGAATCGGAATCGCTAGCTTCTTCGATACAAGCTTTGCACATAAATGTTATCACATTTCAATCGAATCGTATTCATTCAAAACATATTACAAATTCTATACCTTTTTATTTTACACTTTAGTATTCCAAACATGTAAATAAGATCATCAATCTAAAACAATGTAAATAACAAATGAAAAGTATGAATTCCGTGCAACTATCTTGAGAAGGGAGATGTTGAATATGAATAAAGTTGACAGTTCATAGTTGCACGTATGAAACGATTGACTCATTGAAATGGTTCACTTTGACATTTCTACATTCGCATGTTTAGCTATAAGTAATTCAATAAAGAGCATTCATTCTTGTCATAGCATTCAATTCACTCGCATCTTTTCATTACCGATACACCACAACGACATTTTACCTAATCTCTTTCGCAGTGTCTCTCTTGAAACGTTGATATTTGATCGACGTAGTCGTTGTACCCCCTGACGCAACGACAAACCTGGGTTTTGATCGAAAACCTTAGCAATACGCTGATCTTGCTTCGGCGTGGATGCTCGGTTGGGCTTAATGTTTGGCTGGTCGTTCACATTTTTTTCACGTTTATATTGATCTACCCAACGCTGGACGAATGGCACCGTCTTTTTAATGTATCTGGCGGTCGCTGTAAGCGATAATTTTGGCCCGCGTGGATGCAAATGCAGGAAAACTGCTTCAAAACGTTTAGTATAGTATTCCGAATTCATGTTTTCAATTAAAATAAGAGCACCAATGTGACTTTACATCTGTCAAATGCAGTTTGCGACCGAGGTTAGAGTCGCATCTGACCACACCAAAAAGCCTATTTAAATATATTCAAATTTGAACATCGTTTTCCCTTATCGTCTATAACTAGACAGACTGTATACAGTAAGTATGCTATTTTCTCAGGACACGATTTGGGCCTCGGCATGTTAGGTACCGTTGGAAAGGTCTTGGCCCAAGTAGTTGGAAACACCAATCCTCCATGCCTAAATCTATACCCATATCTTACGAAGGGGGTACCCAGGGGTGGTCTGAGGTGTCAAGGAGAAGCTCCTCCTCGCCACCTTTCCAACGCCGGTCTAAGTGCCCCGATTGGTCCAAAAACGAAAAAGTTATGGGTATTGGCAGTTTGATCTTGATTTTCTATGAAAGTATTGATTTGGATGTGCATCCGTTCGTTCGTTCGTGTGTCCGGAAACTTTTTTGCCTAAGCTGTAGCTGGTGTCGGGTCACATCGAAACCCGTCCTCAGATTGACATTTGCATTACAGGAGAGCTGGCTATGGCTTCACTAGCCTGCATGTATACGATTTTTTCAAGTATTTATTTCGCACACTAGATCAACTCAGACGCCCATCGGGAAAAGTCAGCTCGTAATTATTTGAGAAGATCTTCAAAAAGTTCCATACACACATGCCAATGTTCATGTGATATAAAAGAAAAAAGTCGATTTTTATGAAAAATCGACCCCCTTGAATTTCACGCCAAAGGCGGTTTCTCAAAAATGAGTCCAACAATTTTTACCAAAAACTGAGCGTTTGTAGCAGGTTACCATACCAACAAAATGGCATATGCCACATATCCGGGAAAATTCTTATTTCGAAGTTCTGGGCATAGGCAATTCATCAATGAACGGAATTTGTACGAAGAGTCGCATTCTACGATGAAATTGCTGCCGAAAACACGCATTGACTGGCTGGAAAGGCTAACAAAGGGCCATATCCGCTCAATTTTCGACGAGCAATCGATTAACAGTGGTTGCAATGCGATCTGAGGGCATTTCATGGTCGAAAAATAGGTCGGATTGGAGTGAATTATCCAACTTGCTCTATTTTCACTGAAAATGATGTTTTTGTTCGGAAAACACGTGAAATACACCTCTGATGTCATTTTGGTCTTGGAAAACTGCTATTTTTTCGTAAAAATAATTGGAGTCTATCAACACCAAAATACCCACTTCGTTGTCATTTTGGTCATAAATCAGCATTTTTTGCATCTGAATGTTTGAAATTGAATTTTTGTTCGGGGGATACATAAAAATGCATTTGTTGTTGCTCTGTTGTTGGAAATTAATATGTTTCAATGAAGTGATGGGGGTCTACGATTACTTCACACTTTTTTTATGGATATTTTGAAATTAAATCATATTTTACCGCATTTTGTAATATGTGCAATTAGAGGAAAATAGGACTTTTTCAATGGTAGTGGAAATTATATTGTGTAATCTCCGGAATTTGTGAAATTGGAATGCGAATGTGTTACTCAGGTAAAAAATTTCCAAATAAAAAAATGCCTTACAAAAGTAGAAATATCAGATGAAAAACCTCTAGACGAGGTTAAAATGGAGTGACGCTCCTGTGCAGACAATGTATTTGGCTAATGTCAGCTAGCTAACTGAAAACATTCTGGCTGACTCAGCGGCTGAATTCTATGCGTTGCGTTTTTTCATCGCAATCTGTAGTACAGAAATCATATATATGGAGATTTTTGTTTTTTTCATGTACCGTTATTTGTCAACAAGTCTGCCTATGCCACTGAACATAGTATACAGCCCATAAGAAATGAAAAATTTTCGCAATTTATTTTTACATTGCCAATACATTAGTTATGGGGATTTTTGTTTTGTTTTTTTTTTTTTTTTTTTGTAAACAAATCTGCCTATCTTTTTGCATTGCCTCTTCACATTTCCTATGGACATATACTGTGCACAATGCACAGTGACAATGCAAAAAGATAGGCAGATTTGTTTACAAACAACAAAAAACAAACAAAACAAAAATCCCCATATATATGATTTTTGTACTGCAGATGCGATGAAAAAACGCAACGCATAGAATTCAGCCGCTGAGCCAGCCAGAATGTTTTCAGTTAGCTAGCTGACATTAGCCAAATACATTCTCTGCTCCTGTGCGTGGATTTACCACTCAAAATGACTGATATCATCACAACTATGCAAACAAACGTCGCATATACAGCCATCACAACCAACTCACATACAAAACCGGCCAGTATACACGGGTGTCAGAGTTGTGTGTGATGTCTACTACACTTCGTCAGTGCAGCCTTGACTTTTTTTTCACTAAATGGGAAATTGGTTAAATTTTTTCATCGATCTGAATTATTTTTCAGGTCACAAGAGCGTCACTGAAGTTCTCAGCCGTAAAGCGAACGATCTTGATATTAAAAATAATTTTAATCAGACACCTCTTCATTTGGCAGCTATGAATGGTAAGGTTGACTAAATAAGATATCCCGCCGATCTCTTTCATTGATCCGTATTATTTTAGGTCACGGAGGTGTCGCTGATGTGCTTCTCAAGAATGGAGCTAACGCTGATATTGGAGATAATTCGAATTCCACAGCTCTTCATTTAGCTGCATTCCTTGGTAATGTTGAATGTTTGTTCTCTTTAAAGAAACGATTAATTTGATCTATTTCATCGATTTGATTTTTTTTTCAGGTCACAAAAATGTCGCCGAGGTTCTCCTCAAAAAAGGCGCCAATATGGATGTCATGACTAATTTGAATCAGACACCTCTTCATTATGCTGCTGAGAATGGTAATGTTGAATAAGTATTTTCACAAAATAAAGAATCGGTTTGATCTTTTTCATCGATCCAA